GTTTTTGTTTTTTAATCAAAGGGTTAATACCAACTGCACAAAAGAGCTGAAGCAGAGCTGCCATTTTCACCATCATCGCCTACAGCCAAAAAAAGAGCTCAGGAAGGAAAAACAATTCCAACAGTGAAGAACAAAATGAAGAAAAATAAAAAAAAAGCCTGGCAAATAAAAAAAGACACCACTGCCAACTTGTGTTTTCCTTCATCGTTAATTAGATACACTGTGGCAACACTTGGATTCAAGGCCGGTAAATTCTGCAGCCAAGAAACCAACTCCTGTTCTCTTCCAGCCCACAGCTGCTGTCACCAGGCTGCTTCTGCAAACAAGAGGAGGCATCTCAGAAGGTACATTTCCCAAGGCTGGGAGAGCCAGCTGCTTGCAGAGAACTAGTCGATAAACTGGGGCGCTACCGCCACCTGGTGGAAGGTATCATTTACCACAACTTCTGTTTGTTTTCAAGAAACACTGAAAGAAATCATATTTCAAATTTAATATTAAAAAAAAAAACGATCATCGATTATGACTGCGGAAGTGCTGGAGCCAGATCAGAGTTGTAAACTGAAAGAACGAAGTATTTTTGAGACTCGAGACAGATCGCAGAAGCAAACATTCCTGTGTGTCAATACATTGAGAGGCTGGAATATGGGCCTCATCCCCTTGCATACCTCAAGAAATATAGGTTTAGCACAATCAAGGCACACAAGTAATGCGTATAAAACATTAATAAATAGCTAAACCGGACAAGTTTTTTTTCCACCATTTCTTTAAAATGGTGATGATTTGAGAAGATATACAAAACCAGCTGGACTGTGGCCCTGCAGAAGTAAAGTGGGGTGATAGACACGTGAAGACAAAAAAAAATCAGTCTTTCACTCATCACATTTAATTGCATTATTTAATCAAGGATTAAAATACTTGTCTGCAACCGCTGGCCTCTTGAACAAGTGCACATGTCCAGCGCCTTGCATCTTCTGTCAAACACTGCTTGCGAGCATACTGTGACTAAATTCAACAGCAAAATCACCTAATGACTGTATAGGGAATAAACCGTTTGCAAAGAGCAATTAAAAATAAGAGCAGCAGTAATATTTTCTAAGTAAAAATAGTCTTTATAAAATGTGTTCAGATCTCAGATTTAAATATTCATCCATCTATCCACGTTTTAACCACTTCTTCCAATTCAGGGTCACAGCTGGAGCCTATCCCAGCAAGCAATATGCACAAGGCAGGATACACCCTGGGTGGAACACCAGTCCATCCTGGGGCACAGACAGACACACGCACACCCAGGGCCAAAATTCCCAGAACCCAATCACACTAGCAGTATGTTTCTGGACTGTGGGAAGAAACTCATATGAATGTGGAGAAAACATGCAAACTCCACACAGACAGCACCCCAGGACAAGAACAGGGCCCCAGCACTGCAAGACAGCAATGCTTGCCACTGCCCTAACGTGCCATAAATCAATCTGCACACAATCCAACCAATTCTGGACATTCTCGATCTGGGAGCTCTAGAAAGCAAATCTAAACAAAATGTGACGTTAGGTTGCATCACATTGAAAACATTGAGATTATTTTATTGGTGATTATTTTATTCTATAATTCCATATCTAGAACAAGGGTCTCTAACCCTGCTCCTAGAAATCCTCTATCAAGCAGAATCCTTAAGCAGCGATTAAATTAATTTAAGTCTTGGGGAAATTTTACTGTATTTTTTTTTTCAATTAATCAATACAGAGATCATCCATCCATCTGACTGTTTTCCAACAACTGAATCCCAGACAAGGGGAGCCTGAGCCTATCCCAGCAAGCAACGGGCACCATGTGGGACACACCCTCAATACACATTGCCACACTCTGCTGGTACTTCAATACCAAACACACACAGTTAACAGGCTCACAGGGGGCTGGCGTGTGCACAGGACTTCTACATTACAAAACTTTAAATCAAAGAACTTGACAAAATTGTCTAATTAAGCAAATAAGGTGCTTTAGGTTAAGAACCAAGTTGAACTAAAAGCCTGCAGCCACACTGTCCCTCCAGGAAAAGGACTAGACAGGCCTGGTTAATGACTGCGATTCTGGAAGTTACACATTTCACTCACACCTTCGCCCATTGCACTGCATTTAACTTTACATTCTCAGGGCACATACTGCGATATGATCAGTCACAAAGTGATTACAGGGCTGAAAAAGCTTTAAGTGGCTCATAGAATGGCCGTTCCATGCCAGAAACACAATCGTTTTCCCTTAATTAAAAAAAATATCGTTTGAGACGGGCAAAAAATAATCTTTTGCTCGAGGAGCATTAAACCAAAACAGAGAGAAACATCTGGGGCTTCACATGATTCTTAATTTGGTTTTCAAATCCCTTTGGTGTTCCTAGCAATATGAAAAGGGGGTTGCCCACAGCCTTTCCCTGACCTCCTAGGAACAAGTGCGGCTTTTTGTGAAGAGGACATGTCCATCAGTGCATTGCGCCACTGAGGCAATGACTCTGCAAATGGAACCCAGCTTCTCCTCATGCTTTTTAATGAAATCAGCTCCTTTGCTCCCAACTAGCTGTGGGCTTCAATTTGCGTGTTTCACAGGTGTTGGAGAAGATAACAAATTGATATGCAAATGACGCTTATTCTTTTATTCATGTATGCAACACATTCTGTCAGCAAGTTCTGAAAAGTTAGAGGCACCCCCCCTGAGGGAAAGCTTAATTCCACACAGAAAACCACTTAAATAAAATGGCTTTCAAGACAAATAGGTCATGCTCTATTATAAGGGTTAATACCTCTCAGGGGACAGAAAAACTTTTTAACTATTCCTTGCTTTTAGAAGTTATTTTTCTCAAGACCTTTTAACCAATGTTTAAGAAGATTGAAAAACGTTGCCTGGTGTACCCTGCAGGATAGAGTGAGGATTAATGCTGCTCTGATCTTGAGTATTCAAGATCAACAAACGTTATAACCGTTTAACTGCAGATGAACAGCGATCAAAACGCATTTCTGCTCCTTCTTAACTGCTGTCATCAGGAGGATCTAGGGAAACACACAAAATCAAAGACTTAGTAACTGAACTATAAAATAATCTCAGGCTTTAAGCTCAGCAGGTGTGAGCCTGGTCTCCTCCCAGGAAAGCTCTGGTTTCTGCTGGAAGAGGTATTATGGGGGCTAGTAGCGCTCATCTTGTAGTCCGATAGGGACACTACGTTATGTTATTCTGGTGTCCTGGCCAAATTTTCCCCTGACCTTCCAATAACCCCCATCTCTGAACTGGCTTCATCTCTCTGTTCCCCTCCCCACAGAGCTGGGGTGTGGGGAGCGGACTGGCGCATCATCCAGGTGGGGCTTCACACCGGCGGTAGTTGAAGGGAGTCTCCATTACATGTAAAGCTCTTTTTGTGGAGTGTCCAGAAAGGCTCTGCACAGGCTAAGGATTTAGGGTTTAAAAGTTGATGTGTTGTGATGAAAAGTTAAAGTTGTTCCAAAAATAAGCTGACAAATGAGTTTTCAGGTTTGGGTAACGATCACTTATTGATGACAGGTTAAGCACCTACCTCTGAATAGCACATGGCAAACTCTGCACATGTATTTTGAATCAGCAGGTAATACACCCTTTCCAGTATTAACTCAAGGGCCCGCACCCTTGAAAGGCGAGATTAAGTCATGTGAACATGTTGACATACTCACCAGACAGCTGCTCTTCTCTACTTAACGTGTCTGCAGTGAGCTCTAGCTGAAGGAGCACAGCACCCCCTGCTGGCAGGGCTGCAGGCACCGCCCATGCTGCTTCAAACCAGACCAGAGCTGGCAACACTCGGCCAATTAGGCCCCACAGCCTGGGAATCCCATTCGCCGCTGGCTAAAGAGAGCCAAGTCTCGAACCTCACTCTGAGCACCTGCCCAGAAGTGTCCACACCAGCGGATTTGTCTTCCCACAGATCAAAAGTTAGGAAGAAGAGGACAGTGAAACCGGAGGGAACAAGTACCCAGGTCTTTGAAACTTAAGGACACAAAAGTACAGCAAAACTCAAAACAGAAGACTCAAACTTTTTAATCTTTTTATTTTATATCAACTGAATGCAACAATTGGGTTTCAGTTAGCAACTGACTTACAATGACTCACCGACACCTTTGCACATGAGAAACAGGAAGAGCTGCAGCACAGGCCTTGACAGTCATTCCCTTGAAACTAATGCTGCTGGAGCCCAGGCACATCACCCACCACAGTCTTACTGCAAGAAAACCACAGGGCTCACGGACATGTCCTGCACCTCATCCAGGGATCCACACAGACAGCACATCTAGAACATGGGTAAAAGCAGTAACTCGCAAGCAGACAGCTGCAAAATCATGCTTGCTTTGCTCACCCCATCGGTAGTGCAGCTATGAGACTGTAATGGCGCCACAACAGATAACACTTGCAGCCTTCTCTTTAAGCCGAAATGAGCAACATACTTCAAGTCAAAGGAAGTGACTTGCACACATCCCAACTATGTACAGTATTTAATTTCTGGCCAAGTTAACTAACCATCCTTCCACAATCCCTAGACAAGGCCAATGACCGCTAAATGAAAACCGTTCTCATCCTCCCTAACAAATGTGCTGGAGAAGCAACTATCAGGTTTTAACTTTCTGTACCTAAACATTAATCAGAGCCCACAGAAGGATTATTACTACTGGGTGGTGGAAAAAATTAAAGATGGTAAAGCAAAGGCCTACAAAATCAGCCACGCTACATATGAAAAGCTATAAAATAATTGTAAGATGGCCTTATACTACAAACAAATTGGAAAAGAACAAGGGAAAGGTTTTTTTTCCCCCCCCCAAACTGTCATGAACAGTGGAAGTGAAAACCCCAAAATTTTAAACAGACACTGTGGTTCACTCATACACCTCACAAGGCATGGCACGGGCAGCTGAGACCTCACAAATACAAGAGCAGACGAGGGAGACGAGACTGCAGAACTGACTGATTCGGCTGAAAAATCTTACAGAAAAAAGTTTTAGAAGCAACAAAGACGCTTTTATTTAGGAAGGGGCTTCAATTTCAGTTGTACAGACACCCCCCATAAAGGCCAAAAATGTTCCATTGAGCCATTGAGCTACAGACTCCCAATGTCCCCGACAAAAAAAGCTTTGGAGGTGCGACACTTGATTATCCCTCGTGGGTGCCAACAGGCATTTACAAAAGAATAAAATACAAAATGAAACGTACACATTAAAATAGAGGGCTGCATCATTTAATTCCACATCAGGGACAGCTGGCAGGAACACACTGCCACTGAGCAGATAGAAGACAGCTGCAATGATGCACAGTCTCAGGACAATCTCTGTGCACTGCAAGGCAACACAGCCAAAGCCAGCATTCTGCAGGCAAGGCCACAGGGAAGAAAGCAGCCCGCTTGCTCAGAGGATCAGTACAAAACAAAATGCCATTCGGCTAACAAATGACAAAATGAAAATACGCAATGGCTAGATCAGTAGAAACCTTTAAAACATGTACGTTTTTTTAAAAAATTGCATGTTCAAAACCCAGAGGGACCATTTTCTTTTGCAACACCGACATCACAATTACCAACTTCAATTTAAACACACGAGGTATTCCATTTCAATATAACCCCCTCCCCCTCCAACACAAACACTGAACAGCTCAGGAAGAATCACCCGACAGGAAGCCGGGTCCGGTCCGAAATTTAAAACGACATCGTGTCAGTCTGAGGAACACTACGCAAGCCAGGTAAAAAGGACGTAAACTGAGAAGTTTTATTTTAAGCAATGCCTCATCGGGTTTGTGTTTCTTCGTAAAAAAAAAGTCAGCGAGTGATTCATAAGGCGATTCTATTCCTTACAAAGGAACTATTCTTCCCGCTCGTCCATTTACAGTCCCCTCCAGCTGAAGATAGCGGCTTTTCTCTTTTTAAAGGAAGGGGGTGGGGGGGGCGGCCTGTCATCTGCTCAGCGCCTTTTGTCCTTTCTCTCCGTCTTTCGCTCTCTCTCGCCGCGAGAAGGCCTCTTCCCAGATCGACTGCCCTCCGAGACCGACCTCTTCCCGTCTGCCCTGGAGGTCTTGTCCTTGGGCCTCTTGGCGTCTCGACTGCTGCCTTTGGAGGTCTTGTGGCTCCGCTCCACACCCGCCGCCCCCCTCTTCCTCTCTCTGTCCCTCTCCCTCTCCGAGGGCCGCCTCCTGCGCTTCCTGTCGCGGGCGTGCCCGCCCCCGGCCCCACCCCCGGCCCCGCCCCGGCCGCGGCTGCGGCTCCTGCTCTCGCTGCTGGTGCTGCTGCTGGAGCTGCTGTGGCTGCTGGAGGTGCTGCTGCTGGAGGTGCTCCGGCTGCTGCTGCCGCTCGAGCTGCTGCTCGAGCTGCTGCCGCTGCTGCTGGAGCTGGACGAGCTGCTCGAGGACGAGCTGCTGCTGCTCCGGCCCTTGTGCCTGTCCGGCGCCCTGCCCCGGCCCTGCGCGCCGCCATCGCCTGGGAGGCCCGGCTCCTTGGCGAGGTCGTCCGCCTGCTGCGGCGGCGGCGCTGCCTGCTCTGGTCGCGGCGGACCGGCCTGCGCGGCGGGCTCGAGGCCGGGCTGGCTCCCGGGAGCTGCCGCCGCGATCCCCTCGGGGGCCAGCTCGGGCTCGGGAACACGGGGGGCCGGCTCCTCCGGTGGCTGCTCGCCATCAGCCGGCCTCGCTTCCAGGCCGTTTTCCTGCCTTTCCACCTGCATAGCGGACTCCTGCTCAGCTTGTGCCTCAGCCTCTGCTTCTTGCTCATCCTCCTCTGCTTTGTCATTGCCGACCTCCATTTCTACAGGAGCGGGGCTCTGCGGTTTAGGTTCCTCCATCTCCTGATCATTGGCTCCTGACTGAGACTCCTCGCTCACCCTGACCTCTGCAACAGTCTCCGCCTGCTCCTCTACCTCCCTGAACTCAGCAGCACCCCCCTCTTCCTCCTCTGCTCCTTCCACTTCCGCTGACTGAGCCGGCTCCTGTGCTGCCTGCTTCCCCCTCTCTTCCTGCTCGACTTCCACATCACTATGAACTACACTCACCTCTTTCTCCTCCCTCTCCCCTGCTTCCTCCATCTCTACGTCGTTGCTCTGGTTACCTGTCTCTTCCCCCTCGGTCTCGTGCCGAGACGGCTTACCCTCCTCTTGCTCTTCTTTCAGCGGGTCTTCGTTCTGAACCTCCTCCTGGTCTTTCTCCTTCAGCGACTGGCGCCTGGGGCGCGCCTCCATCTTGTTTAGCTGCTCTGCAAACTCTTCACGCCTTTCGGTAAACAAGGCTAGAAAGAAAAATCGGTGGTGTGAGACAGACAGCAGTAAACAGACGATAGAGGCACCCCACTCCTTGAACTCAGATGAAGTAGAGCTGTTTAACTTGTTTTAGAACACATTTACAACGGCACAGGTGTCAGTAAAGAAATGCTTACCATTCATTTTTTTCTGAGACTCCTCTAAGAGCTTATGAGTGGCTGAACACATTCTCCCAGGAAGGTAGAAGATTGGAGGCTTTGTTTTCGTACGGATGTACTTAATTATTTTAGCGTTGTGTACGTTCCACTCCTCTTGCTGTAGAAATAAATGAAACCAATTCTCACACGAGGCACAACAAAAAACCTGTCTCTAGGTGACAGGATCTCATTATTAAAACTCCTCAAATTCATAACAACTCTCCTTACCAACTGAGCAAGCTCCACTTTCTGTTCTAAAAGTCTCAGCTCTGTCTGCTTGGCTCGCCTTTCTTCAAAAAGCTCTCGTCTCTCATTTTCAACTTTCTTGCGCTCTTCCTCTGCTTGGACTTCCAGTTTCTGCTCAATCTCCTGACGCCTTTTTTGCTGCAAGGGAAAAAAAATGCACATTAGCAGCCTACATAATCATGGTGTACACTTACAAAATTCCTTGTCTTACAAAAACACGGGAAAGAGAGGCTTAAAGTATTTCTAAGCTTTCGCAGAAATCTGAGAAAAATGAGTGGTGCAGGGTAAAAATCAGAACTCCAGTGGTGGGCAAAAAAACCCAGCAGACCCCTATACCCAATTAAGCAGGTAACGTATCCCACGAACAAGCGGATTATGAACGCATTACCCTTTCAGTGGCCACTGTCGATTCCTGCTTGAATTTCTGAAGAGTTCCCATCAGCAGGCCAAACATACGTCGATTCCTAAGGAAAGGAACAAAAACAACTTAAAACGCTAATGGACAGACCAGTGGCCACACTGCAAGTTTTGGGGGACCTCTCAACAATTAAAAGTTCAAATTTAGGGATTAGAACACTGTTTAAAGAAACCAAGACAAGATTTATAGGATGCAATGCAAGACTTATATTATGCAATACCCAAGATGTAACCGGCTGCACAAGAGCTGTGTAGCTCAAAAAGCATAGTATACTCTCCACTACAGACTGTAGTTCACTACTTGTATAGAAGAGAGGGCTTATAGGAAAGCTTTAAAACAGACCAATGAGATCAAAAGAAAAAAAACACCATCTGGTCTTCCTTGACTACAAGCAATCACCAAATATCCAAGAATCCAACAGATCAATACCTTTGCTTGCCCTTTTCATCCATGGTCTGATCCTGAATTAGGTCTCGACGTGTCCGTTCTTTGGAGGTAGCAACGACTGAAGACTGCAACGCCGGCTGTTAAGAAGGGAGATGAGCAGGATTATTCCTGGGAGGCAACATCTTTCAGAGTTTCTCCGCCACTGTCTGCAAAGTTACCTTTTTGACATCATCATCATCCTCTGCGTCGCTGTCATGGCGCGACTCTCTCCTCGCCCGCTGATCACCTGCCAGCCTGGTATTCAAAGTATGAAAAACGGGACTCAAAAAACTAGCACAGGGATTATGTGGTGCCTAGGTTTACCAGACCAATGCAAACCTCAAACCCGCTGCATGATTAAGGAACCTCTGCAGGTCTCTACAGCATGACGGGAATCCGCAATAGCTTGCAAGACCGAAACTTTGTAACTCCATAAGAAGCAGATTGTGTTCTAAATTCTCCGACAGACTGCCTGTGCTGCCATCTTTCATTCCCTTTAATGAACCAGACAAGACACTGGATTTTGCCGAAGAAAAGTAATGAGAGAAAGTACTAACAATATGAACCATGAAGTGGAACAATCTCATAAATCTTGCTGGGCCTTCTCACTGTTACAGATGGCTTCTATTTTAGCTCTCAGTGCTTTTGTTTGGGGAAAAATCCAATAAAGCTCAAAACAGATCCAACATTTGAATTACAGAGGCAGGAAGGGAGGAGGGTTATAGAGGCAGAAAGCTTATTCAACAGCCTGTTTCTACAACATGACATTTTATGGCATGTGCAAATAAGACTGCCTTGACAAGGTCTCCCCACTCTTCCTGTGCATCACACGCAGTCTTTCAGCAGCGATGTTCACTATCGTCTTACTGCTTCAAAAAGGGAAAAAGGGAAGCAAGGTGTAGCTGTGTGGCACGACCCCAAGGCAGCCACACGATCCTTTCCCAGCAGCTTCGTCTCCTGTGTCCCCCTCTTCCAAGCACTCACAGATAACAGCCAGAAGACTAACACCTGCAAGGCGGCTTGCTCACCTCAAGAGCGCCCCTTCAATATCCCTCTGCTTAGCTGGGGGGCCCCCTCCGCCATCCGAGAGTCCACGCCTAAAACAGACAGGTGACTTCAGTCCACTGCACACCGACACACCCCCACATCCCAGGTATTCACATCAGCGCAAACTCACACATTCTGCCCCAGGCTGTGAACAGCTGTGAATACCCCCCCACCAAAACAAAACTGAAAAACTGCCAGCTGCCCCCCTTTTAAATTAAAGGGAATACCATTGGTAGCTATATCAACTAACAAATTGTGAATCCCCCCCAATGAAAAGCTACACAGATTACTACACTGCCTTTATAGATTAGAATACAACACAGAGAGGAAAATAAAACACGTTCCTTACCTCAGTATATTAAGCCCACGCCCCCTACCTCCACCTGGGCCTGCGATGGTCAACCTTCTGGCTTGGCCAGGCCTGAAAAACAAAGGGCAGATTTACAGGCCTGCCGCTAACCTGCAGAGCAACACAGACC